TATATATATATAAACAAAACAAATGAGATTTGTAATATGTATTTGTAATTTGTTTGCAAAACCAATTTGGTCTCTAGTTCCACATTTTCGTTAAGTGTTGTAAAACGAATCATCTAGCAAAGCCACACATCCGAAACCTTAAATCTTTTGTGTACTTAAAAGACACCGCACACGAATTGAAAAATTGAATATGTATAATGATCGTGGTGCAGCTCAAGTCTAAGCCCAATGGGTTCATAACTGACATTGTTGAAGTTTTGTAAGCCCTTAACAAAAATTATATCTCTGCTTGAAGAACTTCGGTTCCAAAAAACTAACTATTTTCTATATGCTATATATTATGATATGTATTATATTTAATACACGTATTTTTTGTATTATTACTAAATATTATGTTAAGTCGATTTCGATTTCTGTTAACCCTCCCAAGAAAAAAAGAAAAAAAAAAGAAAAAATTTTTATTTATTTTATTTTGCCAATAAATTTTTCGATTAAATTTCATTTTTTGCTTTTGATTTTAATTTTAGGTTAATATATGAGTCATACTTATAGATATATGTGTGTTATAAAGAACGCGTGTATGCAACATATCAGAGCCGATTATACATTTAGCTAATTGAAAACTTAGAAACTTAAACGATACCACCACCCACTAAGAAATAACGAAATACCACCCGAAGTTAACTATGATTAAGTAAACAGTAAACTAGTTATCTAGTTATGGACAATCGATTCAGAGTTCTGAGACACAATTCTCAACTAACGTCATATACATAGTTATATATACTAATACTAATTATATATATGTATGTATGAAGATCTATATACATGTATATGCCTATTTGATATAGACGCTTCTGTTCCTCTTGTGATTAGGGTTAGTGAAGTTCGATAAACATAAATTAACTGAATACCAAACTTTGCAATCTGAGTGTAATAGATATATGCATATATGTATATACAGTATTTATATAGTATATAGAAAGCTGATCTACGCTCTACTCAAGTGCTTCACGAAATATAAAAGTAGCAGCAAAAACCATGCGCTTCTTTCCAATTGGCCAAGTGACTTACAATAGTTTATCTATCCATGTATAGTATATACGCTTCCAACCTGATGCATCAAATGTGTTGGGCCACGGACAATACCAGAATATCGAAAATACTAAGAAAAATACAAAAAATACGAAAGTTCATGCTATACACCAACATTTTGCTAGCTATCTAAACAAATAGAAATCCCATGAAATGTCCACACTTTGAATATATGTACAAAAMATGAAAATAATATTAATAATATATAATAATAAATGATATATGGAATATTCAGCGATGAGGCATAGATTTGTGTTATTATAGTTGGAGAATCTTAAATTGTGATGATGTGAAATTTACAGTTAACATATGAACTACTCCCAGTTTAATGGGAGAACAAATGTCTTTATATTTCCATAGATATGTACTAATTATTATTAAAATAATAATCTTAAACTAACTAACTAATTGTAACAGCATACCATAACCGATCTTAAACAACTAATATACATATATATACAACTACAAGCTGCTGTATCTGACAGATACTTTTGTCTTGTTTTTGTAATTGTTCCAGCATCGGTCTTAAAACCAACTCAATTAATTATATATATATTTGTGTGTAATTTTTTGTGTGCTGAATTTTCTTCATAAACTTCAGAAATATAAATGTATTAGAAATTGAACAAAACTTAACGAATTAATGTGTGTGTGCGAGAATTCTCAATAAAAGTTATTAAATAATACTAATAGTAGATGTGCTTTATATGAAGAAGTAATGATAGAACTTGGGTGGTTTTTAAGCACAAGCAAAGAAAACCAATTCGAAAACTGTCGAACATATGGAATTTATTAGAATATAATACTATGTTCAAGATCTTTCAAGCACAGTCAGCACTTTCAGCTAATGTCATCTGACAATAGTCTTGCGTTCGATTCTTGTGGTTTGATTCTATTGCATATAAAAATTTCTGTGGTTGATTATGAGGGAGATTTTCGAATGATGCGAGAGTTTAGCACAATTAACAAGTCTGAAAAGTTGATTTGATATATTTCAAATATTTTTTATTGCATTTGGAGTATGCTCAGCTCTGCAGCGTTGGCCTCCACATAACGGGCATATCGAGCTCTTTCATTTCGCCCAGCTCCAGCAGCCAGACGCTGCCATTTTTGCCCTGTTCGATGACCTTGACGAGATTCGAGGCACAGATCGCGGGAGATTGGACCTTGTGTGTGTGCTTGTCGATGGTTGTGCGAGGCTTGAATGTCATCTTGTTCATCATGTCGAAGAGCAGAGGCGTGTCCGTAAACCCTGGACAGACCGTTATAAAAGCAACGCCAGTTTGCTCATAAAATTGCGCACTCTGGGAGGTATAAAGAGAAAGAGAGAGAGAGAGAGAGAGTTAATCTTAGCTGAAATTTAAGTCTGGTGATACGCACTCCAAGTCCTCGAGTGAAGGCTGTCACTCCATGTTTGGCGGCCGAGTAGACGGACATGAGCGGAGTTGGTTGAATTCCAGCCACCGAAGAGATGTTGATTACGACTCCACCTCGACCGCTCTTGCTCTTATCCATGTGCTCCAAGGCTATGAAGGAGCTTTGGATTAAGCCCAGCTGAAAAGTGAAGCTGTTTATTCGCTGGAATACTAGTTAGGTTATCTAAATTGTCCCACCAGATTAATTTGAATTGTCAGCTCCACAAAGTTGTCGTTCATCAGACCAATGCCGTTCACAACCACATCGAAGTGACCCAGGCGTTCAGCCGCTGCCTTGTAGGCCGCCTCAATCTCTGACTTCTGGGTGATGTCCACTTTTTGATAGAATATATCAGTATTTGGATATTGCGCCTGCCATGCTGCCAAGAGCTGCTCGCTCAGCGTCAGATCAAATATGGCCAGCGCCTAAAAGGTCCACAGAGAGTTGAGGAGGAAAACTTGTCTCTAGCGATTGTCGAACCCACCTTGATCCGGCGCTCGAGCAGCTGGGCGCACGCTTTTTGGCCAATACCCCCAAAGCCACCGAGGTAAACCACATTTTTACCAGTCAAATCCATTCTCAATTAACACTTTTCAGTTTCGGGAGATATATGTATAAATATTTCTTGGCTAATGCTGCTTAGCTTGCTTTCGGTTCGGCGTTTGCTTCACAACTGATCGCCGTTCACNTCGGCTTTACGAGTCTCAGATATGTACTCTCCTCCCTATTGAGGATAGAGACTTTAAAGGGGGGAATGTAAGTTCGCCTTAGAAAGTGCGCAGCTGTTTCCTAGGGCTGTTCCAATTCGGAAAGCCGATAGCTCAGGCAGTTTTATAATTACATATATATTATATTGACCTCAACAGACTTACATACTCGTTTTAGTCAAACCTCGTTTATCGAAATGCTGAAGCTAGAACGTTATCTCTCAGCTATAAAGCTATAAAATTAACTGATTCGTGGGAGATGAAAACGGAATATAGTGTTCATTGTTGGATTAATGTAAGATGCGAACAGAGTTGTCATATATGTAAATTAGATCAGGTTTGATAAAGATGTTCAACTTAGATACAATAAAATATTATATTATATTAGCTTATTTTATCAGACTCTTTACTAGGCAAACCAAACCAATTGAAAATGTTCTATTGGGYTTGATRTACATAAGTTGATATCTCWGTCGGTCTTTATCTATTTCTCTCTCTATTATTCTCTTTGCTATGTCTCTTCCTGAAATAGAGAGATACTCCACATCCATCTCTCGTTATATCTATATTTTGCTCTCTCTCTAAAGCTGACCATCTATTCTATTTCTCTGTATATTCTTATCTCACTTTCTCACTGTCTGACATACTCCCTCGCATTCACTTGCTTTCTCCCGCTCTTCCTGTTTATCTCTACCCCTCACTTTTTGCATGTCTACCCCGTCTATCCCTCCCTCTGTGCCTGTCTCTGTTTTCTGTTTTCCGCTTCCTCTGTTGATTGCTGCTCGCCGGAACTTAAGTGCTTGCAAATCGTGAAGCCCTAGGAGGGCGTTTGCAAGTGCGTGGGCCAATTGCGCAATCTGCGAGCTGCTCAGATCGGGTGTATCCGCATCCATGCGCAAGCAATATCAATATTAAGTTCACTATTACAACATCGAGGCTTTGCCAGCTGCCGTGGCGGTTTGTAAGCGGATCGGTTGGAGATGCCATTTGGGAAGGTCATTGCGCAGACACTGTGGGCTTGGGTTACCAGCGAAGTGGTGCAAGTGGTGCAGATGTGCTCAGCTATAAATAACCACAACGTTAGTCATTGCAGCATCAGTTTGAACGCAATCAACAAATCGATTAGATCGACAGGATGCATCGCTTCGTTTGTTTACTGGCCACAGTCGTTGCAGCTTCGTGGAGCCTTGCAGCGGGCTCCACTTCAAGACCCATCATCAAGATCACGCGTACTGCAGCGCCGTCAGTTCAGCGCGGCTACCAGGAGCAGGACACAGCGCGCGCCTTCTACTCCTACGGCTACAGCGACGAGAATGCAGCCAGAGCGGAGTATACCGCATTGGATGGCACCTCGCGTGGCTTCTACTCCTATGTGGATCCCAATGGAGAGCTGCAGACGGTCAAGTACGAGGCAGGCGGTCGGGACGGTTTCAAGGCGGAGGGTACCAATCTGCCCAAAGCACCCGTTGATGACAAGAAGCCGCCATTGCCAGTGAACGACACGGCTGAGGTCCAGCAGGCGCGTGAGGCCCATCTCAATGCCATACGCGAAGCTCAGCAGGCAGAAAAGCAGCAGCAGCAGCAGCAGCAGGAGCAGGAGGAGCAGCAGCAGAGCGGGGAAGAGCGCCTGAGTGATGAGGATGCAGATATACTGGAACGGGTGCGGGCAGAGCTGACTTCCATGCTGGCGGAGCGACAACGAGGTGAGGCTCAGCAGAAGAATCAGAAAGAGGAGGCAACAGCAACAAAGGAGAACAACAGCCAGGAGGAGGAAGCAGACAGACAGCAGGAGAGGCAGCTGGAGAGACAGCGCGAGCGGGAGAGGGAGCTAGAGCGCGAGCGAGAGAGGAAACAGGAGCGCGAAAGAAAACAGAAAACAAAACAGGAGCGGGAACGCGCACAGACCCAGGCCATTCCGCGCCCACGCGAGCAACGCCTCAAGCAGTCGAGCGATGCCAACGATATGCGTCTGCGCACCGTCTACAGCTTGGAGGACCTCAGGTCCAGCAGCTACCTGAAACTGAGCGATTTAAGCGAGGATCGTCAGGATGTGCGTGTGCCAGTGAGCGCCTACTACTCCTACGTCTCACCCGATGCCAAATACAGCGTGACCACTCCCACCGAGCTGAAAACCCTGCGACCCGTTGCACTGAGTCGCAGCCTGGTCTTGAGTAAACGGAACTAGAATACATATGTATGTGTGTGTAAGGACTTGTTGACCCTGGTGAAATTCGGACTTTATTTAAGCTTAGTGCTAAGAATAAATGCATTCTGTGCACCATAGTGCCCTACATATGGGAGTTGTGTAAGAGGGTGGGTGATAAGAAAAAGGCGGCTATCCACGTCTTTAGCCTATGGAGGGATACGAGGCGCAGACTACGCTAATATGGTTAAAGGAAGATTGCGACTCTCTTTTTCAAAGCATCATTATGAATCTCAACACCTTATAGCTTATCTATTTTAGAGAAGAACATTATTCCCACTTGTCTACGATTAAAAGTAGATCAGGGATTAATGTCAAATTCTCTAAAAACCTCCAGAAATCTTCGTTTGTGAATCTATAACCTGAGCTTAGAGAGAAGTGAATTTAGTTCCATTCGATATTCAGCAGGAAGGCATCTCTATAATTCGCTGACTATCAAAGCCCTTCGTCCCACTGGAGCTTCGTAGTTATTCCATGTGTATGCCCAGTCCTCATTTTAATAAAAATACTCAAATCACAAATTTTACATTATTTCAATATTTATTAACAGAAACCAAAACAAAAGCGTTCATGGAATGACAAATTTGGGAAGCTTAAGCCACTGGCAGATATGCACGTGTGGGTGGTGCAGCCTTCNGTGACCACTCCCACCGAGCTGAAAACCCTGCGACCCGTTGCACTGAGTCGCAGCCTGGTCTTGAGTAAACGGAACTAGAATACATATGTATGTGTGTGTAAGGACTTGTTGACCCTGGTGAAATTCGGACTTTATTTAAGCTTAGTGCTAAGAATAAATGCATTCTGTGCACCATAGTGCCCTACATATGGGAGTTGTGTAAGAGGGTGGGTGATAAGAAAAAGGCGGCTATCCACGTCTTTAGCCTATGGAGGGATACGAGGCGCAGACTACGCTAATATGGTTAAAGGAAGATTGCGACTCTCTTTTTCAAAGCATCATTATGAATCTCAACACCTTATAGCTTATCTATTTTAGAGAAGAACATTATTCCCACTTGTCTACGATTAAAAGTAGATCAGGGATTAATGTCAAATTCTCTAAAAACCTCCAGAAATCTTCGTTTGTGAATCTATAACCTGAGCTTAGAGAGAAGTGAATTTAGTTCCATTCGATATTCAGCAGGAAGGCATCTCTATAATTCGCTGACTATCAAAGCCCTTCGTCCCACTGGAGCTTCGTAGTTATTCCATGTGTATGCCCAGTCCTCATTTTAATAAAAATACTCAAATCACAAATTTTACATTATTTCAATATTTATTAACAGAAACCAAAACAAAAGCGTTCATGGAATGACAAATTTGGGAAGCTTAAGCCACTGGCAGATATGCACGTGTGGGTGGTGCAGCCTTCAGCAGGGAGTTGTACTTGTAAACGTAGCCACTGGCTGGCCGATAGACGTACAGGGGCTGGGAGATGATGTTGTAGCTGGGCTGAATGGCTGCTTTGACGACTGGCTTGGTTAGCTGATGGCGCAGCTTCTCCGCCTCGAACCGCTTGAAGAAGGCCACCTTGGCGGCCGCCACCTCTGGTGTATCCTGTACAGGTGACAAAGATGAGCCGCCAGCCAAACGCAGCTTGGCCTCTGCATGGGCAGCCAGATGCTGGGCGCGCAGCTGGGCAACCTCTGGCGTCTCCTTGTTTGGCTGCTGCTGCAGGCTGCTCGAGGTGATGCGAAAGCCGGCCGCATCCGCTGTGTAGCCCACCGTCTGGCGCTCTCCCCGGGCATCCACATAGCTGTAGGAGCCGTGCGTGACGCCATCTGCGGTGCGTGTCTCGTGCTTGGAGTAGAGTGGAGCCGTGTAGCCGTAGGCATACTGACCGTGCTCGTCCTGGCTGTGGTACTGGGTGATGGTGCCGGCGGCCGGTGGTGCGCCATAGTCCAGCAGTGAGCCACCCAAAGCAGCGCGCAGTGGTGCAAGCAGCAGGCAGAGATAAAAGCTCAAGTTCAGTGGCTGCATCTTTGTTTCTTTTGGATTTCCTTAGTTGGTCTTCTTGGGTGGGTTGGTTAAGAGGCGCTGCTAGTGTCGTGGACTAGTACTCGCTCTAGAGAACTCTGTGCGGTTTTGTGGTGCAGTGGTTGCTTTTTATAGCCGCCTTACAGTTGCCACAAAAAAGAAGAAGCTAACTCTGCCATTTCGTGCGTTCTTCGGGAAGGTCGTCCAGTTTACTTTCATATTCCCTGTTTTTTCGGGCTTCATTGTTGATGTTGTTGTTGTGGTTGTTGTTGTTGCTGTTGTTGCTGAGGCTCTTCCTCTTGCACTGTTTGTACATAAATATTTTGTCGATTTCAACAAGTTGAGCATAAATTTGTACACAAAAGCCGCAATTTGTTTCCATCTGCCAGGCAGAGGCAACAGCGAACCCAAGAACTTAATCAGGCCAGCTTTTGCACGTCCCTAAGGTCAAGGAACCAGCAGCTACCTTTTGATATATGTTGTTTATGCCGCTATTAAATATAATTGAAATCAAAATATCCGAATATACGAATATTTATGAAATCTTGCCCGTTCAGCTGTAGCCAAAAACGTGAATGAGCTGAATCCAAGAGGAATTCCTGCTTCGATCGATTCGATTGACTGATTCATTTGCTTGACATTGTGGAGGGCGCAGCGTCTAGATCTTATAATTTTTATTTCAGTGACTTATTTTTACTACAGAGGCGACTTCAATTATTCTTCTATAGAGAGATCAGCCTTCTCAATGAATGGGTTATCAATAATCAAGTAATAGTAGATCAAGATTATATTAAATGTAGCTGCATTGCTCCTAACCAAGGAAACCTGAGCAAGAAAACCTTGGACTTACGCTTTGACAGCGGTAGAGGCAGAAGCAGATTCATAGGTAGAGCCAGAGAGAGTGGTAGAGGTAGAGGCAGAGGCAGACGCATCAAATAACCAAAATTGAGGGTGTCTAGCTCTACTTCTATATATTCAAGAAAGAGCTATCATAGTGTGCGAATCTCTAAGATCAATTCTCAATTCAAAAGGCCACACAACATAGTCGTCCAATCTCTTTATTAGCTCATGAAATGCATGACAAATTGAACTTAGTAATAGAAACCGGAGCTGTAATAGCGCGGAATGCTGTAGATGGAGTGCACGGGCAGAATGACATGGGARCTGGTGCTGGGCACGGATCGACCGCTGATCAGTTCGTTGCGTAGGGCCTCGGAGGCGACGCGTTTGAGATGGATCGACTTGGCGGCGGCTACCTCGGCTGTGTCGGCGACGGGAAGAGGCAGGCCCACACCTGAGTGGCCGACTGACTGAGCTCCGCCTGACTGTTGAGCCTGCGCCAGATGCAGTCGAGCCGCCTCATGAGCCGCCAGATGGCGAGTAGTTGCGGCGGCAACTTCGACGGCGTCAGCACGATTGTTGGCAGCGGCGGCGGCAGTTGCAGCGGGAATGTCAGCGCCTGACGAGCCGACCGCACGGAACTGCTGCGGCAAGTTCGTGGCAGCCACATGAAAGCCCTGGTCGTCGGCCCTGTAGTCCACGGTCTGCAGCTTGCCAGCCGCATCGCGGTAGCTGTAGCTGCCGCGAGTGATGCCATCGATGCTGCGGAACTCCTGCTTGCTGGAGTGCGGCTCGGCATAGCCGTAGGCATACTGACCCAGTACGTCCTGTGTTTGATACTGCTGCTGCGTAGGAGTTACGACGGCGCTGCCCTGAGCCGTGTACACCAACGGGTAGCTGGAGTAGACGGCCAGGCCCTGGGCCAGCGCCAAGCTGGAGGCCACCAGWGAGAGCACCAGGAATTGCATGCTGAAATATAACTTGAAGCTGCGTCTAGAACTCTGAAGTTCTTACTGCATTAGGCTAGCTGCCGCCAGGTCCTTTTATACCAAAACCGCCCGTTCGCCTCTACAGGTTCTGTCAGGTTCTAGTTCTCGTTTGGGTTCTAGGCACCGGCTTTCGCCCTCTGGGCTGAGTTGTTCTATAACGAGCTGGCTGTCCACTTGCATCGCTGTCATCGTTAACGGCAACTGCTCCGACAGAGACGTCAATTTGGCTTAATTGTGGCAAGGCTCAGCTCGGCGGACAGCATCGTACCAAGGCTGCACACTCCAGAGCTAAGCCAAACAGTTTCTTATCACATGTTGGCCGCATCAGGCGGCCAAGAGGCCATCGCGCGAGCCACTGAGATCAAGGCCATGACCACGAGCTGGCGAGCGGCAGCTGTGCAGCAGGGGCCTATGTAAACGATATTCAATTGTAGTACCCTGTAGGTGAAGCCAGAGAATAAGCGAGGGTATGATAAGCTGGCATAAGCGTGTGTAGGCTATGGAAGAGGTAGTTCATATAAAGGGGGACATATAACAGGAAGAGTTATTTACGTATAAATATACAAATTTTAAAAAGATATATAAAAAATATATTTAAAAAAATAATTAGAGTATTTTTAAGTCTGCTAAATAAAATGTATGCAGAATTTAGTATGCAACGACAAGAAAACAAAATTAAATAAAATGCTTAAATAATAATCAATGGTATTTTTTGAAGTTTAGAGGTCTAGCATAGTCTATAATACAATCCTTAATAAATAAAAAATTTAATTAATTAAATTAGTTAAATTCACATTAAATACATATATATATGCATGATATAAAAAAATGAGCATTTTATAAACTATTACAAACAGGGTATGTACTACGCTATCATTCCTCAATGAAATTTACTACATTTGTTGCTGTTGGTGCTCATTCAAGTGGTTGTCTTTAACTGCAACTGCAACTGCAACTACAACTGCAACTGCAACGGCAACTGGAGCGACTGTAACTGATTTAAGATGCGCCACGCATCTTTTTGCCTTTTTCCAATTGGATGGCTCCCAACGGCATTTCAAGGTGAGCGAAGGCCAAGGGCCACATTTGTCCAGCGCCGTGGTGGATCGACCAAGGTCTTGGCAATTTCAATTCCAGCATTGCATTTGGWTTATTTTTAGCCTATCTCTGGCCACGCATCGCCAGGCAGCCAGCTCTYAGGCTCTGATTAGGATTGATAGCTTGTTGGCCAAATGTAGCCATCTCTCTCCCTCTCTCTATTAGTTGCTTTGATAAGTGCATTTTAATGTTTAGTGCAGCCTAGTTCTATGCCTGTCTATATGTATATCCCCTGTCCGCATTCGCACTTGCTCTTAATCAGAGCCACATCCAATTCAATAATTTGCCACAATGCTGCAGCATCTTAATGATCTTGTTAGCCCCAGTTGTAGCGCTTTTGCCTGGACGTTTTTATGTCCCTTGTCGAAATCACTTTAAATTCCAGTTCAGCTGTTGTTTACTTAGCAAATTCCGCTCTGCAACTGACTCTCCATTGCCGACTCTCGACTCTCGACTGTCCACTGTCCACTGCCGCCTGCTCCTGATTTGTGCATCATTAGGTGGAGCGAAATTCTGAGCTAATTACTTATTGGCTGGGACACACCTTCGTCAAGCCGGTTTCTTTGATTAACTCAACTTGAAGTTTGCCTCACTCAGCTTTACTTTGTTTTGCTTTTGAGACACTTTGATTGTCAGAGTATTATAGGTTATCCATGCTATATGTTTGTTTTTTTATGTCACTGCTAAGAGCTGTTGTTCATCTCTATATTGTAGCTTAAGTATTCATTCAATAATCGATTTGTGGTTGAGCAATAAAAGGGCTTTGTATAGTAGGAAAACATTTATTGTGAATAATATGTATAATAAATATATGATGAGTAGATATGTTTCATATAAATCAAGTAAGAATGTAATCGATTCTCATATGCTCGCCCTTAGTGGGCGTATACATCCAAATTTTTGATCAACATCTAAGGAATCGCTCGAAACGTCTTTTGTATGTCTACTACATATATTTGGTCTTTAGTATTTATTGCGCCTCAGATAATACCATTGATAATATAGATATCTACGTTTAGAATATAAAGGCAGGTTGCTTGCCTTCGTATATATAACTGTTATATAATAAATGTAGATAATAAAAATTCCATTTAACACAAGAAATTCGCTGCTTAAGGCTGAAATGTGAAAAATAATCATATTTCTGGTTTACTTTTCCACATTCGTATATTAATATCTGCTTTCATGATAAGATATAATTAACTAGCCATCAGAATATATAATATATGACTAACGTTGTACTCTGAAGCTATATCTATTATAAATTTTAATAAAATATTTTTACCTACTATAATGAAGTAAAATTATCTGGTTTTTAAATTATTAATTTAATTTAATTTATAAAATAAGAAATATTCTGGTTAGAAATCAAACAAAGAAACATAAATTGAGCAAGTATATTATATAGAAACGTTGATTTCACTATATTTTCCATGTTTCTTCTGTTTATACATATATCTGTCATAGAGAATATAAAATCTTCTTTTCACTTTACTATACGACCCTAGATTGTTTAGTCCCCCCTCGCATATTCTGTAAAAGTATTAAACTATTATTTACCATATAAAAAATGCATCACTTTATAGTGTTGTACAATATTTATAAATTTCACTTTGTTTAATTTATAGAAACTTATATCGATCGAATAATTTTCTGCTCTTAGTGAAACTCTTTTCATTCCCAAAAATAATCTGAAGCTAATGCTCAAATTACGTGCGTTATAATATTTCTTAATGCTCATAAATATGAATCGACATGCCTTGGGTTCAATGAGAGCAATTTGACAAAAATCGGAGTCAGAACAATCCATAAGAGTATTAATGCTTTGACATGCCTTGGCCTACCAACTATTTCTTCTGCTGCTTCTTATTTGCTTGTCTTTCGTGCCTGACTCTGTATGACGCCATCCGAGGCATTTGACCAAACGCACAAACTGCTCGAAAATGGGAATGACAGGTCGCATAAATCATGGCCAGCAGGGATTGGGCCGGTTTTGTAATAAATTAACTGAACAAAACGCAATGTTGGTAAACACGCTGAAGGTGTTTGATTAAGTTTTCCGGCTTGTTTTCCTTGCCCAAACCTAAAGCTAGTCAATTTCCGATCAGACAAGTTCAAAGAACTCGCACGGAACTATTTTTGGGCTGTTCTAATCATTGGATCTCAGACGATGTAATTTGCATATGAAAATATATACAATTAGCTGCTGCCGAATGAATAGCTAATCTTTTCGCAACTCATGAGCTCATACTATTTAGTTAGGCACTTGTGGACACTGCCTCTCCCTCTCTCTCACTCTGTCTCTCTCTTTCTATAATTTTATGCCCTCTCACTTGTTTTTGTTGTCAAATTTCACGCATCGTTTTCTAATCTCTGGACTCATACAACAAAACAACAATTGACCCGCTCAATGGGAAAAAGCTCAAAACGTTTTGCTCTTCTCTCTTCTCTCGCCTCTCAGCGCTCAATTTCTCACTCAAAACAAAACGCAATTTGAGTCGAAATTTTGGCGTTGATAAGGCGACTGACTTTTTTTTGTTGATAAATATTTTTTAGTCTCTTCACGCTCTACTCTTTGGCATTTATAAATTCCATTTGTTTGTTTTTATTTTGTAGTAGTGAAATGAAGTCATCGCGTAAAATATACAAATTATGTGTATAATACGTATACGCATAGTGCTGCCTGTGGGCTGGAACTTTGTTTTGGCTGGGAAAAGTTGGCCGTTTGCTGGCCATGATTTATGTGCTAGCCGTTTGGCTGACAAATTCAACAGTTTTGCGAGCAACGAAACTCACTCAATGCTCAGCAAATATCACTCATACGCCGCTTGGCCCCCTTTGTGGCGCTGGCTGCGCAGTTTGACCAAACAGTCGAGTCTCGACAGCGACAGCAAACGCGCGCGCAGCAACGCACAACAAACTATAAACACGCTAAAAAAACAAATTTAAAAAAATTTGAAAATTTTTATCAAGTTTTTTTAAGCAAATAAAATGTAAGTTGCAAAAGATATGAAATTTGTGGCCGCATCGAAACTCATTGAATATTTCTATTGAAAGTTAAAAAGTTGCTTCGTGCGTATTAAAGTGCAAGTGTTATGTGTGCATACACAGTTATAGTCATATACCCATACATACATAGCTGTGTATGAGTACACACAGCATCAGCATTTCAATCTTTTACAATGACAGCATCATTTCCCTTGTTGGAATTTTCAAGTGCTGCATGACCCATATTTCTCTGCTCCAAAATAGAAATTTTTGCTGCTGCTGCAGCGGGAGCTCTTCTTTTTTTTTTTTTTTAATATACACAACAATGGTAGCATCGTTTTAGGCGCCTTTTCCCGCCTCTCAATCAGACTCTCACTCTCTCCTTCTCTTTCTCTTTCCACGCTCATTTGTGCTTCCGTTTGTATGTATGCGGCGCTTGCGCGTTCCTGTGCTCCTGCTTCAAACGGGACTCGCGGTCTGGGCAGGTGATGTCATCTACAAGCTGCTGCGACAGAGGCAGAGGCAGAGGCGGAGGCAGAGGCAGAGGCGGAGGCAGAGACAGAGTCATAAGCAGCGCTCCAAGGGCTACTCAGACATTCATGCATGCATACATATATATGCATGTATATGTAAATATGCTTAAGCATAGGCCTATGACTCTTCCTCTGCCTATGACGCTGCCTCTGCTGCTGTCGCTGCTTCTGCATAGGACTCTGCCTCTGCCTCTGCCGCTACTTCCACACATGCTGCGCCATGGCTGACCCCCAGCTCAATGTTCTTCGTATTGTATTATGTGTGACACCCTTGACACCTACCCCAACCCACCCACTGCCTTCAGCCACCCCATATCCCGCCCTCTGCCATGCCATGTATTGCGTTTCCTGTTTAAATGCGTTGCGTTTCACATGCCTCTAATAAATATGCATTGGTGCGACCAATATTTCATATATGTATTTATCGTATTATAAAATTGGGGCAGTCGTTCACATTGTAAACTATATCTAGAGCTCTATAAAATCTCGCACTTTTTATAGCCTGCAGTAAAGAGAGGGCATGATATTGTGAATGCCTAAGTCTTTATCAATATAAAGGCACTCTTTTTATTTTATGTACTATTCTTGAGTTCCCGTTTTTATACCTTTTAGCTAGAAAATTAAGATAGATAGAGGAATAAAGTCGCTTCCATTCAGTACAATACAAAGAAGTCTTTCTTACATGGTGATCTTCATTACCTGAAAATGTTGATTTATTATATGTATATATTATTAAGTATATTTCAATTCACTCCTTACAATCTTGTGTCTTATCATTGTATATTTTGTAGTTAACCTAAATACAGAGTATTTTTGAGTAGATCTTAAACCTATGCAGTTTGCAAGTTTTGAAAGGTTTTTAAAGTTTTCATTTTTAAATTTGTCTCATATTTTCATATAGGAAACGTTCTTTGTATATAGGGTAACTTCAAGTCGGCTTATCCAGTGAAATTAAGATGGCTCTACGAGTACTTTTCTTAAAGTAAATGTTACAGGGTATCTGTTACATCTAAGTAGCTCGTTAACCAGATTGTTAATCGATAGTTGCTGTTTACAGGGTATCTCTTAGCCAATCTCTCACACGTATCACCTAGTCGTTACGTCTGCTTGCCTTATAGAAGCAACCACATCAATTGGAACTCATATTGTTCTCCAATTTTGGCTAAACCTAATTAATATATTGGCATAGCCACGCGCTGCCTGCCAGCTCTAGATGCGGATGTTGCGAGATGAGCCAAACCATTCATATAGTCATGTATATATATAGATAAACATATATGAGTTAATATATACCCCTATGTGTGTATGTTTGTCTCTATATATTAATGGTCCCGCCGGCCAAAGCGGATTATGAAGTATCTTTTGCTCGATTGTATCTTAGCCACGTTTTCTTGCCCATTCGTCTGGCTTGTTCGAATCACCTTTTGTCATGTTTTGCGGGT